GGGGCTGGCTGGCATGTGGTGCTGGGGGATTGAACCGCGGTCCCTGTGATTTGTTAAGCTTGCTCTAAGTAGGTGCTTTAGACCACTGAGCCATCTCACCAGCCCTGTCCTGGGTGTTTTAAAAATAAAAAAATTTAAAAATGAAATTACCACCACTCCAAAAAAATAAATATCAGTTTTTTGTTTGTTATTTAGCAGGTTTTTTAATTGTACAACTTTTGGAGACTATTAATATGTAAATGGTCATTATGAACCATTAAGGCAATAATATTTCTCCAATGTATTTAACCAGAAACCTTAGGGAACATATTTTCTTTTGGACACCAATTCTAGTTCACAGGGATTAAAAGCTTACGTATCTTCCCAGCTTTATGAGAATTTTCAAACTAATCTGAGATTTCCAAAGAAGTCTTAGTTTTTATTAGCTTAAATTTTTTAAAAAAAAAATTATTCCTTCTGTAGTGTGGAGTGGGATGGGAGGGGGTTGGAGGTTGGTTGAGACTTCCTACCTGTAAGGTCCCAGGAAGTCAACAGATAGTTGTTCCTCTGTCCACAGGTACTTATTATACCTCCTAAGAGAGGGGTGTTTATCCTAGGCACACAGAATGAACAAATAAACAAAATCTTTTCCTCTTTTACTTTATTAGAAGAGACCTTAAGTGAAAAACTCACAAATATGTATTTATAAATTGGGAAAACTACAATTTAAAAAAAAGCAGAGAATAGAAAGAGAGATTTTAATGGATATTTTATTTACTTTGGGAAACCACAAAAAGCTTCCCTGAGAAATAGCATTTAAGTTAAGATCTTGAGAAATGAACAGCAGTTCACCAAACCAAGAACAGGGAAGAGAATCCTTGTCAGAGGTACACGTACAGGCCCTTCTAGGAGAAAAATGTTTATCCTTTGGAGGCTGTTCCTGTAGCATAGGAGTGGGTAAGCAGTGGCTGGGCTGGGTCCTAGGGGCTTTGTTGGACAAAGGTAAGAATTTGGATTTTGTTCTAATGCAGTGGTAAGCCATTAGAGGCTGGACAGTAACATGGATAGATGTTTTATGATTTTTTTTATTTTTTATTTTTTGGTTTGTTTTATTTTTAATTCTCTCTACTAAAGTATAGATCATACTGAGGAGTACTAGTGGTATTGGGAACATTAGTTAAGAGTCTGTGACAGGGCGCCGGGCTCAGTGGAATAAGCGCTTCCCTGGCAAGCACAAGGACCTGAGTTCAATCCCCAGTTCCGCAAAAAAAAAAGTCTGTGACAATAGTCCAGGCAAAAGCTGATTTGGAGCTGGACGTGGTGGCACACACTTATGATCCCAGCACTTGGGAGGCTGAGGCAAGAGGATTGCAGCAAGTTTAAGGCCAACTTGGGCTATGTAATGAGTTGAAAAATCAACCTGAATTTCTTAACAAGACCCTGTCTCAAAAAAATAAAAACAAAAAAGTGATGATTTTTTGGGACTAGAATAGTAACTGGAGAGATTTGAATGAGTCCCATATACTATAGTTGGAACTTCTGCCCTTCCCTTTCCCTATGCCTAAGTACTCTTACCCCTAACCTCTCTTCCTCCTCATCATTCAGGACTCACTTCTGTGTCTCTGCAAAAAGCCATTCTCTGATCACCTAGCCTAAAATACCTACAGACATAACCTTCATACTATCATATGTATCATAAGTATTCTCTTTATAGCCCATTTTCTAATGTTTTTATTTATGATTATATGTCTCATCACTGAAATGTGTGTGGCATGGCATAGTGAAGACTCAAAAATTATCTTTGTTTTTGTTTCTGTGGTACTGAGTACTGAACACAGGGAGAAGTGAATTATATCACCAACCCCACCCCACCCTACCCATTTTGAAACAGGATGGGATGTTGCCCAGACTAGCCTTGAGTTTGGGATACTCTAGCCTCAGTCTTAGGAGTGGCTCAGATTGCAAGTATGCGCCACCATGCCTCGTCCAAAACTCTTGCATAGAATCTGACAAATAATAGGAATATTTGTTGAAGTATGAGTAGTCTTTTTCCTTGTCTCGATGACTGCTGCCATTTTCCTAGTTTGCACCTAGAAACAAATACAACAACTTTCAATCTTCTGTCTGGGCTTTCAGGCTCTTGTAATCCCTCTTCCTTATTATTGCTGCTGTTACTTTTGTAAAAGCCCAACTCATCATTCCTAAATTTTTCCTAACTATCCAGTACTTTCCTAACTATGCAGTCCTTTCCCCTAGCACTTATCAGTGAAATTCCAACTTTCTGCTTGTCACTCATTCTGATTCCAAACTTACTTATTTTGTTGTTTAGGGTTTTTTTTTGTTTGTTTGTTTGTTTTTACGATACCCTGGATTGAACTCAGAACCTTGCGCTTGCCAGGCAGGCACTTAAGCCACCGAGCTATCTCCTTGGCCTCAAACTTACTTTTTACCATCATCTTTTTTCTTTATCCTGCTCTACTCAGTAATCTGTTAGCTGTTCCCCAAGTATGCCATGTCATTCTCTACTATTTATTCTGTCTGTTGTCTCCTTGCCTCACCTTAAAAAGACCAAATCTCACTCACTCCAACCTCTATGAAGTACCCCATGCTCACTCCCATAAGTACTGTCTTTGGAATTCTGATCTAAAGTATTACTGTAAAATATAACAGTTTATTGGAGATGGTCTGTCTGTTCCACTAAATTGTTTTCCAAAAGGCAAAAAAAACTCTTAATTTTGTTTCTCTTTGAATTCATAGTTACTAATACAGAACTAGCACGTACTGCTCAATGAGTGTTTTGTGTATGTTAAAAAATTACATAGATAACACACCTATAATATTCAAATAACGGAACTTAACCAAAAAAGGGTATACAGATGAATGTCTATTTTGTATCTGTATATTCAAAGTGATTGGGACAGATATATAGTTACATTCTCTTAATGAATAGAGTGATTTGTTCTAATGGTGTTTGTAGATAGAATATCATGTCCACATCTTGTACAGCAATTAACCACTGGGAGGAATGTATACAATGTGTTATTGAAACTGTCCTACCAATTTGATTTGAAACTGTCTCATTGCTATTTGTTTATCAATAAAATTATGGGAAAAAATGAATTGGACAAGCATACTATTTCATCAGAAAATTTTTATGTTAAATGAGATTACTTATATTCACTGAAAAAAAATAATATCCTAATGTGACTGTGGATTTGCCAACTCCTTTTGGTTATAGAAATTGGCTGCTTACAGGGGCTGGGGAGATGGCTCAGTGGAATAAGTGCTTCCCTGGCAAGCACAAGGGCCTGAGTTCAATCCCCGGTTCTGCAAAAAAA